GGTGGTCAGTCCTTGGTATAGAGCTCTTCAACAGTTTTATTAATTATTTGGATAGAGAGATGATAGGACTGCTGATCAGTTTTTCACATGATGCAAAATTGGGTGGGATAACTACCACCACAGAAGACAGAAACAATATGCAACATGATATTTTGCTGGGCTGAGAACAACAGATTGAAATTTAATAAGGGCAAATGCAAAGTTCTTCACATAGGAAAAAGAAATGAAATGTATAGTTACAAGATGGAGGATACTTGGCTCAACACAACTACATACAATAAGGATTGTCAAATTATTGTACAGCACAAGCTGAATATGAGTGAACAGTGTGATGTGGCTGCAAAAAAGGCAAGTGCTATTCTGGGCTGCATTAATAGAAGTATCACTTCCAAATCAAGTAAAGTGTTATTCCCCAATATTCAGGACTGGCTGAACCACCTCTTGAGTTCTACACACCACAGTTTAAGAAAGATGCAAACTGGAAAATGTTCAGAAGAGGGCAACAAAGATGATCAGAATGGGAGACAAAGCCCTATGAGGAGAGGCTGTTTAGCCTTGAGAAGACTGAAGGGAGGGATGGTAGCACTCTTCAAGTACCTGAAAGGTTGTCCTACAGTAGAGGGTCCAACTCTCTTCTTGAGCATCCCAGAGTGTAGGACATGGAATAATGGACTCAAATTACAGGCTTCTGACTAAACATCAGGAAAAACTTTCTGATGGTTAAAGCAATAGAACTAATTACCTAGGGAGGCTGTCTGCTCTCCCCATCCTGGAGGCACTAAAAATGCTGGACAACCATTTGTTGGGTGTGCTTTAACTTGGAGCCCAGCCTGAGCAGGGGTTTAGACGTGGTACCCACTAATCCGTTCCATTAAGCCATTCCACCTCTACTTCTCTCTGATTCAATGAACCATATTTCAGTCCGTTTTTCTAATTACCCTCCCTATCCCTCCTTTTCAACCTCCGGGGTCCCAGTATTAGGGGTGATGTTAATTGGACAAATAACTCCTGATGAAAATTTATTGTACGTCCTTGGCTGCTATGGTCAAATATGCACTTCCCTGAAGTTGCACATGTAATGAAATAAAACTAATGCCTGGGAACTGTACATACATTTCCAGTATTGCATTTAGTGCAGTTCTGAATCAGTTTTGCAGTTCATTTCAGCAATGCCCTCACATGACCCACTGGACATGATCTAGCAGGAACATAATCTTTGGACATCTCTTTTCATTTCAATTATAAGTGCATAGGAAAGATTATGGCTGGATAGAAGCCTGGATGTGGGAAATGGGAGCAAGATAAAGGCTTTAATATTCCTTAAAAGAAACTTCCTATTCCTTCTCAAATGCTCAGCGCTGCTTAAGATTCACATCATCTTTCATTTATCTAGTGATGATTGCAGTTTTGATGTATTCCATCACAAGGACCCATTCCAGGTAGATATAATATTAGAATTGGAACCCAGTTTTCTCTGGAACATCTGCTTTACATTTTTAACTTTTAGGCCTCACATTAAATCTATTTTATTCTCCTGAGCCTATAATGGCTGGTTATTTTATTGCACTCTTCTTGCTGATTCTCATTTTGCCTGCTGCTTATGGCTTGGTTTTTGGAGAATGTGCTTTTTCAGTTGTGAATACAGATTAAAGTTGGGATATGTGTTATGAGTTGAGCATCTTGACTTGATGATCTTTATCCCTACCTGCCGTAAGATCTAGAAACATTCACAGGTTTCAGTGTGACATGATAGCATGTGCCACCAGTTTGTTCACCACTGTTCAAAACCACTGGGATTTGCTGGAGGACACACAAAAACTGATTCACATGTCATGGCAGCAATACCTGGGTTGTTTAACACAGAAATTGTGGGATGAGAAGGGTACATGACCTGCATGTTCATCTTTTCTGCTTTTAGTTAAATCAGGAATACCCTATTCTCAGTTGCTTTGTGAAATATTTATTTACTTATTTTGATTTATTTTGATTTTTATATCCCATCCCATTCCTATAGGGTCTGGGTGGTTTACGAAAGACAAGACCAACAGTGACTAAAACATGACTAAGAAACCATGTCAAATAAAACTAATATAGGAACTAATCTGGAAAGGCCTGTTGGAAGAGATATATCTTTAACTCCCTCCTGAAGGTACCAGTCTGTGATATCTGCCACATTTCTCCCACAGACCATTTATTTATTTATTTAAAACATTTCTATGCCACCCCCATCGCAACAAAGCCTCGGGGTGGCTCACAACATCCATAAAAATACAATCAATAATTTAAAAACTGGTACCATCTTGGCTATATATTAAAATCTATAAATACAATAATAATAAATTAACAGTTAAAATAACTTTTAAATAAAAAGGTCTTCTCCTGGTGCCGAAAAGCAAATAATGACGGTGCCAGGCATACCTCTCTGGGGAGCGCATTCCATAGGTGGGGCGCCACCGCAGAAAAGGCCCTCCTCCGGGTACTCACCTTCCTAATATCCTTCACGGAGGGTTCCTGGAGAAGGGCATCCACTGCCGATCGTAGGGGGCAGGCAGGCATATATGGACGCAGACATTCCTTTAGATAACCAGGTCCCAAGCCATTAAGGGCTTTATAGGTCATAACCAACACCTTGAATTGGGCCCGGACTTCAACAGGGAGCCAGTGAAGCTGACAGAGAACTGGGGTTATATGAGAATAACGCCCAGTCCCCGTCAGCAACCTGGCAGCTCTAATTTGCACCAATTGAAGTATCTGGACCGTCTTCAAGGGCAGCCCCACATAGAGTGTGTTACAGAAATCTATTCTGTAGATTTCCATACTTCGTAGACATATGAATCCAGCAATAGCTCAATGGGTCAGAGTTTGTTGTTGGAATAAGCCTGGATTTTTTAACCCATTAACTACCCAGAATATCTGGTTTGCATTTCATGAAACTAACATGAACTGTTAATTACAAGCAGAAACAACAAGCATGTGACCTGTGCCTTCCACTTATCCACACAACCGAAGGGTAAAATAACCCAGGAATTATTGCTGTGATGAATTAACCAGATTATTGAAATATATTCATTAGGTTGTAAATGAACCTGGACTAGGGTGGCTAACCTGTCTCCATCCTGTGAGCTGAATTCAATTTTGGAGAAACCCTCTGAGGCTATATTTCAGTGGTCAGAGGGACATTTCTGGTCAGTGATAAAGGGAAAACTACCAATGGTACCACCCTCCTGCCCAAAGCAACTGCATCAACATATTTTCGCTTCAAGTTCTTCCTGCCTGTAAGTAGTCTTAAGAAAGAGATTTTAGCACTTTAGAATGGAGGAAAAGAAAACAAAGACTGGCAAACTACCACTTTGTTCATAGTTGGAGGAAGGAGACTGGGCTCAGGGGAAGGGAATGTAGCCAGTCAGACTGGATTGGGATCCTTGGTAGGCTGACATTTAATGGCATTGGTTCCAGTGACATTCAGTACTCTTTTCCTATATGTTACAGTAAAAGGGGAAGAGCACCTACCCTCCATCAGGTGTAACATGCAGTTTGCAAAGTAGAATGCAAACCCCCTTCATTTTAATCTAATTGTAGTATAATTGTCTCTTCCCCACCCAAATAGCTTTCTATAGTTGTAATAGTGAATGCTGTATGACAGAAACATTGTAAATAGAAAAATCGCCCATGCATCTTGCATAGTATGACTGCCATGTGTCCTGATTTAAATATGTTCCCATTGTAAGGATCTGCAAGTCACAAAGAATTGAACTTGAAAGGAAGACCTCCACAAAAATAATGGGAAATGATTTTAAAACATTCTTCCAATTGCTTCTGTATGTTTCCTTCTTTCTTATATACATCACTAGGTTGAGAGTGAAAGCTTCATTTGTCTTTGGTCATTTCTATTATCTTCAACTTCTTCTGCTTACTGGTTCACAACACAGTGAAATTCCAGGTCTTTATAACTGCATTAATTTCATAGCTGGGAGCAGTTTAAGAAGAAAGATAATACTGCCTTAAGGTGAAGCTATGGCAAAACTAATGCAAAGCTGTTTCAGAGATTTCACAACTACAATACAAATGTATACTATTATTTGGCTCACTTTATTGTGTTTTTTTCCATCAAGGAAAGTAAAACAGACAGACAGACCTGTAAAAAACAACATCAGCCATTAAATCCTCAACATGATATTGAAGAAAAGTCTTTCTGGCCTCATTTATTACTTCAAGTTTAATCTAAAACAGTGTTTGGTTGTCTCCAGGAGTGGTACCTTCAGGATCTAGCCCCATGACTGGCTTCATTTGCAGGACAAAATCTCCCTCCACCCTATCCCTAAGCAATAACTTCAGATCTAGGCAAGAGCATGTGTAGCATTTGTCTGTGCTGTAATTTGTCAAAGAACCAATCTTTACCATCTTTGTTAATGCTTTAGTGTGCCTAGCAACAATACTTCAGGTATGTTATCCAAGTCATTGTTAGAAGATCCATTAGAAGTATGAGCCCTGTACTATTAAAGAATATAGTATAATCTCATCTAGTGAGTTCATAGCAGACAAAGTAATGGTCTATTCAGTAAGTTTTTATTTATAGGTTACCATCTTAACCACTGACCACCAGTTTTCACTTTCTCCCTGCTTTGAAAAATTGCCAGATCATGAACATTTGTGTTGATGGAAAAATCTGGGATTTCTAAATTAACTTGTTTATCACTTAATCCCATATGATTTCTAATGATAGTGGCATCAACCTTCTGGATTGCACCCTGGAATGTAAATGTTGAGGTTTTAATGGCTCTTACCAAATTGTTGCCACAGTATGTTGTAGTATGTGGTATTAAATACAAGAAGAGTGTGTTCAGTTTACATTTGTTCCTCATATCTAAAGCTCAACATGACACATTTTGACATCCATTACTGCATGACCTGAAGAGACAGATATGAACATTTAGTCACATTTAGAAAGTGCTGTGCTTTATCCCCTTCTGCTCAAATATGGCAAAATGCACACACTTGTAAACATAGTTAAACTCACATTTATTGAAACAGTATCACTTTTCACATTTAAATTTTATATAACATAGTGCTGATTTCAGATGCGGGGAGCACAAACCCCAGTAAACACAACTCTCTTCACATCTTTTTACAATGTGAATTAATACTGCAATTAAACACTTCAGAGATTGATAGTTCTAATCAAGGTCCACCTTCATACACATCCCCACTCACTCTGAGTGTGTGTGTGTGTGCGCGCGCACACACACACACACACACACACACACACACATGCACATGCAAAAATAAAGCTGCTCCTCTCTCTCTCTTTCTCTTTCTCTCTCTCTTTTTGGTACCACAAACCTAAGCATGTTGAATTGGGCTAAGTCCCTCTGAGTTCAATGGGGTGTACTCCTTAGCAAGTGTGCTTAGAACTACTGCCTTATTTCAGTGCAAAAAGCAAGTTATTTTATCAAGCATGAGTGCAAATGAAGAGATGGGAAAAAGAACCTGGGGCTTTACATATTTTTATTATCTCACTTGTAGAAGCCTTGTTATTCAAATCTCTGTAGGAATTCAGGATTTCATCCAAATGAAGAAAACATCTTGGCCAATCAAATGGTCCTTGGATACAATAATAGTGGGTGACATTTGGCTCTCCAAAAATTTTGACCCTGCATTGACCCTTCACTATTTGCTATGCTGGCAGGAGTAGGGAAATTCTAGGCCAAAAGATCTAGGGGGTCACAAGTTACTCATTCCTGGCACTGCTTATGCAAATGCAAGTATGCAAATGAACTGTTGTGCTGCTTTGGACAGGTGAACCCTCCAATTGGTACAGTGACCTCCATCTTTCCTTGACAGGAAAGTGGCCAGCAATGAAGGGCAAAGGACTTTGTGCTGGATCCTATGGCTGCTTTTGCACTGAGCAAAATACACAACAAGAGACAGGCTCATTCCAGCACTATATAAAAAAACTAACATCTTTTCCAGGACTTAAATGTATTGAACAGGTGGCTCTTCCATAATTCTGTCCCCACATTTCAATCTTCTTTATGAGGATCTGAACACTTTCAGTGCTTGTATCTCTAAACACTGGGGACTAAAAGGAACCAGAACATTAGAAAGGGCGTAATGCAGTAGAAGGAAGGGTAATTTTCAAATTGTAGGCATGTGTCATGATCGTTTCCATAGCCATGCCTCAAGAAGAGTTAAAAATGAAATCAGTTTGCTGCATTGATCCATATCAACAAGCCAGTTCTAACCATTTTATGTCCATCAAAACAGATCTTTTGCAAGGTGCATAGGTCTTATTTGCCCATCCAAGGCCAAATCACCTTAAAACACTTTGCTTTATAATCGGGAACAGTATATTGTTGCTGTGGAAGTTCATGCATCTTCCCCACCCCCACCCCAAGCTATTGTGAGAATTACAGCTAAGCTCAAGGGAACAGGGGACTTTGAGGGGGGAGCTGGTGGCAAAGGATGCTAACTAAACACAAAGAGTTCATGCTGCATCCTTTTGAGCCCCACAGCATCACTGGTGTGATGACACATCTCTTTAGTTCAGACCACCATCTATACATATTTTTAAAACTGACATTTCTGAGCATGCCCTAGCGAACCATGTCTAAACATGCATGGAACTGCACTGTTGAGATATGTAGTTGTTTTGCTGCACTACTGATAAAGTGTTTTATTATGTTTAATGTTCTTATTTTTGTGGTTTTATTGTTTCAAATTGCTGTGCACCACCATGATGGCTTTTCGGCAAATAGGGTGGTATACAAATGTTCATAATAAATAAAATAATAATATTACAATGCAAGGACTTAAAAAGCAGGTGGACAGCCCTTCAGCTTTGCACTGAGCCTGGCTTGTGTGCCGTGAGTGTGCTCTCGGGTTACCAGCTGACCTCTCTCTGAACATATGTACAGTTGTTGCTTACTGGCACAACAGACAGGCAGCGCTGGCTGAACAGATTTTGTGATTGCGTTCGGTGTATGTGGCACATCCTATATGTTGCCTTTGTGACAGAGGGGGTTGCCATTAATAAAACTGAATGTGGCCATGGATTGGTTGCTGCTCTTCAGCGAAGTCATCCGCGTGGTGCTTCTGCCTGTGCTCTGGGACCGAAGGAGATCACGGCCCTTGCAACACGACAGCTGGTGATTGAACTGCTTCCTAAAGCTTTTGCTGAGCAGGTAGAGGGCGAAGGGGTTGATGCAAGAGTTGGCGAACGCCAGGATGCGAGCACAGAGAGAGGTGAAAAAGTGCAGGACAGAGGTGTCCACCTCCAAATAATGGTATGACCGGTACAAGTAAATGATATGGTTAGGGAGCCAACAGAAAGCGAAGATACAGACAAAAACCAGCACAGTCTTGGCAAGGCGTTTTCGGGATTCCATCTGCAAGGAAGAAAGGAGAATCTATGATAGCAATGTGGCATTTAAGGTGGCACGTGCTCTATTTTTAGTTTGCTAGAAATATTTCTATATATTTCTATTTCAATATTTTATTTACTCATTTAATTTCCATGTATTTATTTAGTTTCTATAATGCCCACCTGTAGCTATAAATTAGTATATAAAAATATTATGCAACCTACCAGCTTGCCTTGCATTCTTTGTACATAATGCATTGCTCTGTTTTGACAGTTCACATATGATTCTGTATTTGTTTACAGCCTCAGTTCAGCACTAACATGGAGGACAGCACAGGCTTTCCAAGCTAGACTTTTAAGAGAAAGGCACTCAAAGCAATACATGGGCTTGGATGGATGATTGTGTCTGTTTTAGTTTTGCCCACATTTGAATTTTGTTAATTCACATTATTTTTGCCAAACATAAAGAAATTTGTGAATTTTTGTAAATTCTTATCAACACTAAACTGAATTACATTCTCACCCGTCCCTGTTTCAGGTACAAACTAACCCTTGCAACCTCTGTTCACTGTGGCTCAGCACTGACAGGCTATGGCAAGATCTAAAATTTCAAAGGACAGAGAAAAAGTTGGAGCCCTCCTGTACTTTCCCAACACTTCTCCAATCTTTTTCCTTTTCACAGAAAATCTGTTAAAAAGGGAAAGACAGAATAACCACACAGTATATTTTGAGTGGTATTGTTCTCTCCAGAAGTATCTTGAATTTCTGTATGCAGCATACAAATGTCAAGTCATGCCATTTCCATTTTGGCAGCCCCTCACCCCACCCCACCCCACCCCACCCCAAGACATACCTGTTTTTTAACATAGACATTTCCTTCCACTGGTAGGTTGTAAGCACTCCGTATTAGATTTTTTGCAATGAAATAATAGTAGACTGAAATAACAGAGAGGGGGATGACATAAAAGATGAGGAAGGAAGCCATTGATTGAATTTTTGGATGCAGATCATTGGTGAGTGGGTAAGGTGTACAACTAACAAAGGTTTTATTGGTGCCTGTGTCATAGAAGGGACGTAAGTCTGAAAACACAACTTCAGGAATGGCGAGCAGCATGGATAAAACCCAGATCATGACAGCCTTCAAGCAAATCTTTAGCAGTGCATGGGAAGCTTGGATGTCCATTGGTCTCACTATCGCTTTATACCTAAAGACAAGAGAAAGAATTGAGTTACTGGTGGTATGGACTGATTCGCTTGGACAAACGCAAGAGGAATGACTCTCTTGTATGGAAAAGGTGGTTTATTATCAACATTGGTTACACCTCCTATTCATCCAATCCTAGATTAAACTTCACCAAAGAAGATCCTCAGTCTGAGAGGGCTAAAATAATGCACCATTAATATAAGAACAGGATTTTTATCACATTTTAAAAACACATGTATAAAAGATGTAGTTATAGGAACCTCCTGTGGGACCTCAGGACACGGAGTAGTTTAGTGTCACCCTCCCACCTGCCATTGCCTAGATGAACACCATCCTCTGCAGCTGCTGCCTGCATCAGATGGAAAACCTCCACTGTGGCCAACAGAGCAAGGGTCTTGCATCTCTTTCAGCTGGAGGACCAAGCTCCATGTGAGAGATGCTGAAGAGGTGGGTAGGACTGATGGGCAAAGGGACAGGGCCAAAGATACCATAAATGTCACATTGTTTTCACTTAATTCATGCCAGTAACTAAGCCTTAGGATTGTCATTCCAACCTTTTGGGATGGGCTTCTGTGTGTGGGAAGCAGCACAAAACCTGCACCAAAGTGATTGGTGACTGGGAAAAATGGGCAGGGCTAGAATAAAGGGGCAGCCACAACTAAGGAAGACCAGATTTGGTCCCTGAGCTGGAGGTTTCCCAGTCCTACAAGAGAAGCTTCTTTCTTGATGCATGAACAACTTTTGGGGAAAGGGAAGAACTTTTGTCCAGAAAATGATGACGCAGAGGGAAATTTTAACCCCTTTCTCCCCAACTCCTGCAATTCAGCTGCAGTTTTGGGCTTCCCTGAAGTTGCTATATACATTTTTAAATCTGATATAAATTGTAGGAATGCAGCTGATATCACATCTAATCTGGAAGAGAAACAGTGTTTCTACATCAGGCTTTTATCATGAACCCATCATTTACTGTTTGCAATTTGTTATGGGTCCTTCACGGATCACTGCCTTGTCGTGGCGAAGGGGCTTGCGTAGCTCAGTGAAGCTATGAGCTATGCCGTGCAGGGCCACCCAAGACGGACAGGTCATAGCAGAGAGCTCTGACAAAATGTGATCCACTGGAGAAGGAAATGGCAACCCACTCCAGTATCTTCACCATGAAAACCCCATGGACTATACCAAAAGGCAAAAAGATATGACGCCGGAAGATGAGCCCCTCAGGTCGGAAGGTGTCCAATATGCTACTGGGGAAGAGCGGAGGACTAGTACTAGTAGTGCCAGAAAGAATGAAGCGACTGGGTCAAAGCCAAAAGGACACTCAGTTGCTGATGTATCTGGTGGTGAAAGGAGAGTCCGATGCTGCAAAGATCTATACTCCATAGGAAGCTGGAATGTAAGATCCATGAATCAAGGCAAGCTGGATGTGGTCAAACAAAAGATGACAAGACTGAACATCGACATCTTAGGAATCAGTGAACTAAAATGGACAGGAATGGGTGCATTTGATTCAGATGACCATCAAGTATACTACTGTGGGCAAGAATCCCTCAGACGAAATGGAGTAGCCTTCATAGTTAATAAAAGAGCAGGAAAAGCAGTACTGGGATACAACCTCCAAAATGACAGAATGATCTCAGTTTGAATACAAGGCAAACCATTCAACATCACAGTAGTCCAAGTCTATGCCCCAACCACTGGTGCTGAAGAGGCTGAAGTTGACCAGTTCTATGAAGGTCTACAACACCTTCTAGAATTAACACCAAAAAAATGATGTCCTTATCATCATGGGGGATTGGAATGCTAAAGTAGGAAGCCAAAAGATAACTGGAATAACAGGCAAGATTGGCCTTGGAGTGCAAAATGAAGCAGGGCACAGGCTGGTAGAATTTTATCAAGAGAATACGATGGTCATAGCAAACACTCTTTTCCAACAACCCAAGAGACGACTCTACACATGGACATCACCAGACGGTCAGCACAGAAATCAAATTGACTATGTGCTCTGCAGCCAAAGATGGAGAAGCTCTGTACAGTCAGTAAAAACTAGACCAGGAGCTGACTGTGACTCAGATCATGAGCTTCTTGTTGCAAAATTTAGGCTTAAATTGAAGAAAGTAGGGGAAAGCACTAGGCCACTCAGGTATGACCTAAATCATATCCCTGATGAATATACAGTGGAGGTTACAAATAGATTTAAGGAATTAGATCTGATAGACAGAGTGCCTGAAGAACTATGGACGGAGGTTCGCAACATTGTACAAGAGGCAGCAACTAAAACCATCCCAAAGAAAAAGAAATGCAAGAAAGCAAAATGGCTGTCTGAGGAAGCTTTACAACTAGCTGAGGAAAGAAGGCAAGCAAAAGGCAAGGGAGAAAGAGAAAGATACACACAACTGAATGCAGAATTCCAGAGAACAGCTAGAAGAGATAAAAATGCCTTTTTAAATGAACAGTGGAAAGGAATAGAAGAAAACAATAGAATAGGGAGGACCAGAGATCTCTTCAAGAAGATTGGAGATATGAAGGGAACATTTCATGCAAAGATGGGCATGATAAAGGACCAAAATGGCAGGGACCTAACAGAGGCAGAAGAGATTAAGAAGAGGTGGCAAGATTACACAGAAGAACTATACAAGAAAGAGCTTAACGTCCCTGATAACCACAATGGGGTGGTCACTGACCTCGAGCCAGACATCCTGGAATGTGAAGTCAAATGGGCCTTAGGAAGTCTGAGCAACAACAAAGCTAGTGGAGGTGACAATATTCCAACTGAGCTATTCAAAATCCTAAAAGACGATGCAGTAAAAGTGCTACACTCGATATGCCAGCAAATTTGGAAAACTCAGCAGTGGCCACAGGATTGGAAAAGGTCAGTTTACATTCTGATCCCAAAGAAGGGCAATGCCAAAGAACGCTCAAACTACCGCACCTTTGCACTCATTTCACATGCTAGCAAAGTGATGCTCAAAATCCTACAAGCTAGGCTCCAGCAGTATGTGGACCGAGAACTACCAGAAGTACAGGCAGGATTTCAAAGAGGGAGAGGAACTAGAGATCAAATTGCCAACATACGTTGGATCATGGAGAAAGCAAGGGAGTTCCAAAAAAAATCTACTTCTGCTTCATTGACTATGTGAAAGCCTTTGATTGTGTGGATCACAACAAATTGTGGCAAGTTCTTAAAGAGATGGGAGTACCAGACCATCTTATTTGTCTCTTGAGAAACCTATACGTGGGTCAAGAAGCAAGAGCGAGAAGTGGACATGGAACCACTGATTGGTTCAAAATTGAGAAAGGAATTCGGCAAGGCCATATATTGTCGCCCTGCCTATTTAACTTATATGCAGAGCACATCATGAGAAAGGCGGGGCTAGATGAATCTCCAGTTGGGAAATTAAGATTGCTGGGAGAAATATCAACAACCTCAGATATGCAGATGATACCACTCTCATGGCAGAAAGTAAAGAGGAACTAAAGAGCCTCTTGATGCAGGTGAAGGAGGAGAGTGCAAAAGTTGGCTTAAAACTCAGCATTAAGAAAATTAAGATCATGGCATCCAGTCCTCTTGCTTCCTGGCAAATAGATGGGGAAGAAATGGAGGTAGTGACAGATTTTATTTTCCTGGGCTACAACATCACCGCAGACGGGGACTGCAGCCAAGAAATTAAGAGACGCTTGCTCCTGGGGAGGAAAGCTGTGACAAATCTAGACAGCATACTAAAAAGCAGAGACATCACCCTGCCAACAAAAGTGCATATAGTCAAGGCTATGGTTTTCCCAGTTGCAATGTATGGCTGTGAAAGCTGGACCATAAGGAAGGCTGAGCGCCAAAGGATTGAGGCCTTTGAATTGTGGTGCTGGAGGAGACTCCTGCGAGTCCCTTGGACCACAAGGTGATCAAACCGGTCAGTCCTAGAGGAGATCAGCCCTGACTGCTCTTTAGAAGGCCATATACTGAAGATGAAACTCAAATACTTTGGCCACCTAATGAGAGGGAAGGGCTCCCTGGAGAAGAGCCTAACGCTGGGAACAATAGATGGCAGAAGAAGAAGGGGATGGCAGAGAATGAGGTGGCTAGACGGAGTCACTGAAGCAGTTGGTATGAGCTTAAGTGGACTCCGGAGGATGGTGGAGGACAGGAGGGCCTGGAGGAATGTGGTCCATGGGTTCGCGATGGGTTGGACACGACTTCGTGACTAAGAACAACAACATGGGTCCTTTTGATGACATTCCACTCTCACTTCTGTTTTCAAACAGCATTTTGGTAAATGAAAAATGTGATATGCAAAGAAAGCACAAGGAAACACTTTTTCTGATTCTGACATTGTGCTTTTCCACAGTGCCACCTTGATCTTATGTAATGGAAAAACAAGAACAGAAATGTTCGTCTTGTAGTGCTCAAAACCCAATCCTTCTATGAAATTGAAATCTGATACAGAGATTGCCAGTCTTGTGTTGAAAAACTCTAATTAAAAAAAAAAAACCAAAACAAAACAAACCCCTTTCCTGATGGCTTTGTTTAAAAATAGAAGAGCAATTGGAGTATCAGACTGACTTCTAAAGTACGTGTAACCAACCATTTGTAGCAAATAATGACCTTGCCACATCTATGGATCTTTAATATTCCATGATGCACATGTGCTTTTCAATTGTTTACCTGCTTCTAGGACAACCCTATACAGGCTTGAACACAGGAAGTACCTCAGCACCTCAGCCTGTTTCTAACTATTTTCCCCTGATGATGTCAACAACTCATGTCAGTGACCCATGCACGTGGTTATTAATTCTAAACATCTGGTAATACAAGCTCAATTGATTAGGGAGACTAGTACAGGATGATGACATGTGACATGCAATGCATTAAAAAAATAGCTGCTGTGTTGTAACTATGGTTAGTTTCTGCCAAAATGTATTTAGGATGTTGAAGGATATTTACATGGAACAGATCTCATCCCACATTTACATTCACTCTAGAACTTTTTTTGGTTTGACTGAAACAGATGA